TGTTCATTGTGATGTTATTGTTATACATTGTTATGCGCAAAAACTATTGCCGCGCATTTCATCACCTCTTTGCTTCCAAGGTATGCCAAGTGTTCAGCCCTGAAGCTGGAAATCGGCATGAGCCTCGGCAGAAAAGGGCCGCCTTCGGCCCTTTGGCTTGGGCTGACTACGCATCTACATGCATATGATTTCTGTGTGAATCGCATGCTGACCTATCTTGATGATGATGATGAAGATGATGGTGATGATGGTGATGATGATGATAGCGGCGATGAATTGAAGATGCGAAGGTGTGAAGGTGTGATTTGGGGAACAGCAGGGTTGCGCCCTGAAATAATGATGTGAAGTTCACAGTTCAGCAGCCCTGAGTGACCACAAGCTGATTGCCAGACGCACATTGTTTGCACCTTTCATGCCTGCGTGGACGAAGATGGTGTCTCCGGTTGATTACCTATTGCCACTCTGGAATTGCTGCTTTGAACCGGCCATTTGCATCCATTTGCAGATGAACCCATGTCAAGCCATTTTGACGCATATTTACGCATTTTTCGTGTTGGACGGTTGGATACGGTTGGCAAATGTTGGGCATGTCCACCATAGGCAGTTCTCCAAGAACATGCTCACCACCCTCAACAAGCTGGCGGATTCAGCGGACACCTCTTCGGAGCCATGGCACCAATGGAACATCCCTCATTGAGGATTGTCCCATTGGGGTGGGTTCCATTGCCATGTTTGATGACACCGGAGAAAGTAGCAAATGAATGTGGGAACGGGCTCGTTAATATAAGATACTACTACTACTACTACTGCTACTACTCCTGCTACTACTACTACTACTATTACTACTTACTACTTACTACTTACTACTTACTGCTTACTGCTTACTGCTTACTGCTTACTGCTTACTGCTTACTGCTTACTGCTGACTGCTTACTGCTGCTTACTGCTGCTACTGCTTACTGTTACTGCTTACTGCTTACTGCTTACTGCTTACTGCTTACTACTTACTACTTACTACTTACTACTTACTACTTACTACTTACTACTACTACTTACTACTTACTACTAACCTACCTTACTACTTACTACTTACTACTTACTACTTACTACTTACTACTTACTACTTACTACTTACTACTTCTTCTACTGCTGCTGCTACTACTACTACTACTACGACGACGACGACGACGGCAGCAAAAGGATTGCAAGAGCAGGAATTACAAAAAAAACATCAAGAATAGCAAGGACAAAAACAAAAACAAACACAAACACAACAGCAAAATCAATAACAACAAGAACGCTAGACACAACAAGAACACCAAGAACACCAAGAACACCAAGAAGGCGAAGAACAAAAACGACAAGAACAACAATAAGAACAACGATCAGAACGACAATAAGAACAACAATAAAAGCAACAATAAGAACAACAATAAGAATAACAATAAGAACAACAACACCTCAGCAACAACATCAACAACACCAAAGCACAGAGGAAAAAAACAACAAGAACAAAAACATGATAATAACAAAAAAACACAACCGCACTGAAGAACAAAACCAAGAATGAAAACATTTGTGTGTGTTTAACCCCCCTCACGTTGTTTCTATTCTGTTGCTTCCCATTTTGACCTTTTTCATTTCGTCCCAAAAAAACTATGAGGCCGGCCATATGAGATGCACATGATTGGAAGTGGTTCAGGATTGTAAGGTTTAAGCATGTTTCCCGAGAATTTCACAGTTCACAAACTGTTCGCATTATTTTTACGTTGGACATTATGACATTGCAACTCGCGCGCTATTTGCAATAAACATATGGAGATTCATCCCCCCATTCACATGGGAAAACCCGGGCGATCATGAACATCAACGGGTTTTTGAATGTTTTTGACCTATCCCCAAACGAAAATTGGGTTCCCAACTGGTCCCAGCCTGCCCAAACTTCCCAAGGACGATGGCCTGCATAAACTGATGCTGGACGTGGTGTTGGCCCTCAAGCGGGCTGAGACTTGGCGTTGGTGGTCGGAGTTGGTTGAGGTTCAAATCCCCCAATCTGTCTTGATTTTGAAAGTGTTTTTTTCACCTTTTTGAAACCGTTTTTAAGAGGTCAAGTAACACAGAACTACTGTGAGATACAGTACCCGTCTGTACTACCAAAATTTAATTGTAGATTCATTGGAAATAAAAAACAAAAGAATAAATCTGCACATGTTAAAGGTTTATTACATGGATAACGTTTCGAAATATGGATAGTAATATACTCACAAGATGACCTAGTGCGCTAGGTTGAGGAACATGGTTTTTATTTTGATTATTTTGTGGATCTTAGCCACAATTAGAATAGATTTGAAGAGGGGGGGGGTAGGGGACAGGATTCAAAAATTGGGTGCGGATTCGACATTAGGATTGTTTTGGAGGTGGGGGGGGTTAGGGGACAGGATAAACAAGTTGAGATGTTGAATAAATATGCACAAATATGACCGAAGTTCACAAACTGGGGGATGAGTTTTTTTTTAAAAATATTTTTGATGTAGTATGGATGTTATAGCTAGATATAGCTAGCATCTCCAAGATTTAACATCATTGTTTTTCTATTCCGATAGGTTGGAACCCTAGGAAGTAATTTTGATTTCGCATTTTTTCCAGGGAGTGAACCTCCCTGGGCGGTCCAATACGGGGTATCTCTGAGAGGTTTCCAGTTACTTTCATCACTTCTCCTCTTGTTGGTGGTTTCAAGTCCCTTTATTTATCCATACTTTGGGATGATGATCCTCAATGACTCAATGACTCATATGATTTTTCAGGGGTCGAAGCCACGAGCCAGTAATGTGTTTTTCCTCTTTCTATCCCCCTGAGATTTGCTGAGGAGACCTCTTGGCGCTATGCGGACTGCCACTGGGATGGCAACTGCGGGATAGAACATTGAATAGAGTCACAAGTTGGGGATTGAGCACTCGCCTTTTTCAATCTTTTTCGTGGTTGAGGAGTGGTTGCGGTTCCGACCCCAAGAATCATTTTGATAAAAATGGGGGAATGATAAGAAACAACCTCTAGCCTGGGGTGCCACTGGCACCGCCACTGGGATGTAAAGGATGCAGGGTGCAAACCATAGGTTATGCGAACTTCAAGCCTCTTTCATGTCAATCCTGCCATGCTTCCTTACAAAGCCCTGGAACTGGGACATCTCCGTTTCATCATTTCATCCTTTTCCAAGGAAGGCCATGCCGCTAGCTGAACAAGCCGCCCCCCAGGTGACCAGATGCTGTTCGATGCAGAAGACGAGGGCCGAGCCGCAGCAGGAAAGCTTCAACGCTGGGGATTGGAGGCCGCAATGGCTGTGATAGTCCAACCCCTTACTGAAGGTGGGCGGATGGAGTCAAACCATTATCGTTCTAACATGTTCTAACAAATGCTTCGGTGAAAATAACCCTTCAGGTAGCCAGTCTGCAGTGTCAATATCGGGCAGATAATGGCCATGTCGGCTGTTCAATACCACAATGCAAGGGGGGTGTTTTCAAGGAACTACTCTTGTGGCATGTGGATAAACAAGATGCAGCCCACGCACCCGAATGCTCACACGTATGTTAATGGTACAGACGGTACAGATGTCAAAACACATGGATATGCAGTCACGCACAACACTTTTCTGCAATAGTTTATTTGAACAGTCTTGTTCATATTTCCCCTGTTACCAGTCTGCAGTGTGGAGTGGAAAGTGTAGAGTGTGGAGTGTGGCGTGTAAAGTAAGGAGTGTGGAGTGTAAAGTGCGGAGTGGGGAGTGTAGAGTGTGTAAAGTGTAGAATGCGGAGTGTAAAGTGTAGAGTGAGGAGTGTAAAGTGTGAGTGTGGAGTGTGGAGTGTATGTAGCGTGTGGAGTGTGGAGTGTAGAGTGTAGAGTGTGGAGTGTGAAGTGAGGAGTGTAAAGTGCAAAGTGCAAAGTGTGGAGTGTGGAGTGTGAAGTGTAAAGTGTAGAGTGTGGAGTGTGGAGTGAGGACTGTAAAGTGTGGAGTGTGGAGTTTGTAAATTGTAGAGTGGAAAGTGTAAAGTGTGGAGTGTGGAGTGTAAAGTGTGGAGTAAGGAGTGTGGAGTGTGTAATGTGTCGATTGTGGAGTGTAGAGTGTAAAGTGTAGAGTGTAAACTGTAGAGTGTGGAGTGTAGAGTGTAGAGTGTGGAGTGTAGAGTGTAAAGTGTAGAGTGTAAAGTGTGGAGTGTGGAGTGGAAAGTGTGGAGTGAGGAGTGTAAAGTGTAAAGTGTGGAGTGTCAAATGTAAAGTGTGGAGTGTAGAGTGTAGAGCGTAAAGTGTAGAGTGTGGAGTGTGGAGTGTAGAGTGTAAAGTGTAAAGTGTAGAGTCTGGAGTGTGGAGTGTAAAGTGTAGAGTGTGGAGCGTGGAGTGAGGACTGTAAAGTGTGGAGTGTAGAGTGTGGAGTGTAGAGTGTGGAGTGTAAAATGTAAAGTGTGGAGTGAGGAGTGTAAAGTGTAGAGTGTGGAGTGTCAAATGTAAAGTGTGGAGTGTAGAGTGTAGAGTGTAAAGTGTAGAGTGTGGAGTGTGGAGTGTAGAGTGTAAAGTGTAAAGTGTAGAGTCTGGAGTGTGGAGTGTAAAGTGTAGAGTGTGGAGCGTGGAGTGAGGACTGTAAAGTGTGGAGTGTAGAGTGTGGAGTGTAGAGTGTGGAGTGTAAAATGTAAAGTGTGGAGTGAGGAGTGTAAAGTGTAGAGTGTGGAGTGTCAAATGTAAAGTGTGGAGTGTAGAGTGTAGAGTGTAAAGTGTAGAGTGTGGAGTGTGGAGTGTAGAGTGTAAAGTGTAAAGTGTAGAGTCTGGAGTGTGGAGTGTAAAGTGTAGAGTGTGGAGCGTGGAGTGAGGACTGTAAAGTGTGGAGTGTAGAGTGTGGAGTGTAAAGTGTAGAGTGTAAAGTGTATAGTGTGGAGTGTAGAGTGTAAGGTGTAGAGTGTGGAGTGAGGAGTGTAAAGTGTGAAGTGTGGAGTGTAAAGTGGGGATTGTGGAGTGTGGACTGGAAAGTGTAGAGTGTGAAGTGTGGAGTGTAAAGTGAGGAGTGTGGAGTGTAAGGTGTGGAGTGTGGAGTGTGGAGTGAGGAGTGTAAAGTGTGGAGTGTGGAGTGAGGAGTGTAAAGTGTGGAGTGTGGAGTGAGGAGTGTAAAGTGTGGGGTGAGGAGTGAGGAGTGTAAAGTGCAAAGTGTAAAGTGTGGAGTGTAGAGTGTGGAGTGTGGAGTCTCAAGTGTAAATTGTGGAGTGTAAAGTGTAGAGTGTGGAGTGCGGAGCTTCCCCTATAGACACGGCGACGCCACAGGAAAACCAGAGACTCGAGACAAGACACGTGGATGCAGAAAAACACACATTTCGTACGAGACTTCCTGCAATTTTGACAGTTTCGACACGTAAGCAAACAGGTTGCAATGTCACAAAGTGCCACGCCTGCCACGCAAAACGACATGGCAACCTGCTTGGAAACCTTCGAAAAGGAGAGGTTTTGCAGCTGCCCCCATAGACACGGCGACGCCACAGGAAAAACCAGAGACTCAAGACGAGACATGTGGGTGCAGAAAAACGAGCATTTCGTGCGAGACTTCCTCCAATTTTGACAGTTTCGACACGTAAGCAAACAGGTTGGAATGTCACAAAGTGCCACGCCTGCCACGCAAAACGACATGACAACCTGCTTGGAAACCTTTGAAAAGGAGAGGTTTTGCAACTTCCCCCATGGACGCGGCGAAGCCACAGGAAAACCAGAGACTCGAGACGAGACGCGTGGGAGCACCAAAACGAGCATTTCGTACGAGACTTCCGGCAATTTTCACAGTTGGCAACATGACAAAAGGACAGGTTTTGCAGCTTCCCCCATAGACACGGCGAAGCCACGGGAAAACCCGAGACTCGAGACGAGACACGTGGGAGCACCAAAACGAGCATTTCGTGCGAGACTTCCTCCAATTTTCACACTTTGTAGCTTCAAAAGCGACGCTTTCCTACGGGTTTTCCTAGGAACCTCTAAATTTTGCAATCTCAAAATCGATGTTTCGTGCGAGGCTTCCGTTACTCAATTTTCAGCACATGTCACAAAATGCCACGCCTGCCACGGAATTTGCACCTTGTCGCCACTTGACGCAGCCCTGCCAATGCGATTTGCAAAAAACACACTACACGACACGTCGAAAGTGCTGCGCCTGCCACGCAAAATGACGATGGACACGTCCAAAGTGCTGCGCCTGCCACGAAAACTGCCGCGCATCTTCGGAAAACCTCGCAAAAGTATTGCGCCTGCCACACAAAACGATTTTCGACACGTTACAAAACACGCGAAAACACGTCTGAATGTCACGAAGTGCCACGCCTACCACGCGAAACGAAGCAACGAAACGCTGGAAACCTCCAAAAATGACCCCTCCTGCAGAACTTACCATAGGCACGGCCATACGGGGATCGCGCGGACGGTTGCGGACGGTTGCGAACGGTTGCGGACGGTTGCGATCGTGAACGCAACGTCGAGCGAACATACCATCAACCCCCAGACGCCCAGAGTGAAACGGGAACCCTTGCTACGCATTCGGGAAAAATGAGAAGCACATTCGGACGGCTAGGATTCAAACACTTTTTGGCAGGCACCTATCCAAGGTCCGACAACCCCCTTTTAGGTGGTACCATTTAGCAGCGGACAGTCCGCCATGGGGAGTCCAACAGGGAGTGGAAACCAAGGGCTGCGTATCCTCAGTGTTTGCAGGTGGCCATGTTCAGCATGGAGACACACACACATGGTTGCGTATATTTCCTCCAACACATCATGATTTGTTGGGGTTGAAACACTACGTCACCACCATTTTAGGTGATGTCGAACCCCCCAAACGTTGGGAAAAACTTGGGGGACCCCCCAACATATCGCAAGGCCCCACTAGCCCCACTGGCTGCGGACCCTTCCAGCAAGGCGCAAGAGAAGTGGGGCGATGGAGACTGGGAGAAGGACCTTGGCAACTGGGGAGGGTTACCGAGGACACCTGGGTGAATGGGAAGACTTCAAGGCTGAAATCTGAGAGATTTGATGCAGGAATCAGTGCGAAAGATCGAGTTGATTATATACATATCTTGATTGAGTGCCACATATCCAGCCCCTGGGAAAAAAACGACAGCAGCCATTTGTTTGGCTTCACCGTTGGCATCCCAAATGCGGTACTCCATGTCGACCATTCTCAGCGGCTTGGTACCTTCTTGTCTGATTTGACTTGGCCACAGTGCAGGTTTTTGCTGGAACTACATTGGGACTTTCAATGTCTGCCAGGACAAAGAGAGCCGCATGACGGAGTATGTGGTGGTCACCCTGATGGTCAGTTGCTATGGCGCTATCTTGGAGGCCAGGGCTGGCCGAACAGCCAAATTTTGGATCGACATTGACGCTCCATTTTTTAGTGGGAAACCCAATGAATTGAGATTTGGGATGGATGGCATCCATCCAAATCACCGTTTTTCATGGGAAAATCACAGCAAGAATGGAGTTTAAGTTGCGAAAATATTCCGTGGTCATCTGACCCCGTAATTGAAAGTCAACGTTTGAATTCGTTCTGTAAATAGTTTGGAAACGGATGATGTCCCATTTTGATCCATTTTGACGCTTGATAGAGGGTCTTTACCCTCAGTTTTGGGGAGTAGTATGGAGTAGTCCTGTCACATGTTCAGCCTTTAATAATCAACAAGCAGTTACGGCTTGAGAATTTAGGGTGCATTCGGCTGCATTCGGATACCAAACATATCAAAAACCCAAACGTCTCATTTCCCACATGCATTGGACAATCATCGAATTTCCGAAAGCAAAAACGTATCACAACCCCAGGCTTCCTTCATCTCCATTGTTTGTTTTGGGGGACCCATGGGTAGGTGCAATCTGAGCAATGCGTGCACTTTTACATTGGGCAAACCCTGATGGGTTACTGTAAGTTATATATAATTATTATGTTATACAGTTATACATGTGTATATATATATATATTTAGATATGGGATGGATCCTTTTCGATTTTGTTGGAGGAACCGGTCAAAACCACTATATATTGCTTGGTGGTTTCAAACCAATATTTGTTTCCTTTTGTTTGGTGGGATGACTATATATCTCAATTGACTGACCTACATGCAAAACTCATGCAAAACTCAGACCAAAGGCGGGGTTGCTAGGAGAATTTTTATCCATACATGCCTTCTGCAACAATTGACATCCTATGCGGTGTCATGCGGTGTCTAAGAATAGTTACTAGTTTTCCGGCCTGTGTGGATTGACTCGCGCAGTCTCACAAGCACCAACCGCAAATCAACAAACAAGAGGTCTCGGATGAAAGTGGGTATCTCAGATTTGCCATGATTTGGTACATCATCAAAGGCCCGTCTTGAGGCACCTAAAATGGATGCAGCGTGCCCTATTGATATGTGATATGTCGTATTATCTAATCTAAGGATATCTAAGGAAGATCTAGCATACGTACCAGTGAAAACCTGGGACATTTGAGAAAGTCGTTGGATAATCCTAAATGCACACTTTTTAAAGATTATTTTCATTGATTTTCAGTGTCTCTACCCATCAGAACATTGCCGTTTAGCCCAGCAATGGCCAGGAGAAGGAAGACAAGATCCGCAGCGGCAGTGATGTGAAGCGGATTCTGGGGGCCATCAGTGAGGTCCAGCAGGTGACACGGGTGGATCATGGGTGGATCAGGTCTATATCATATTTATGATATAAATATGTTACGTATATATATATATTTACATGGAACAAGTATATGTATATACTCATGTATAAATATATTATATCTATACACGCATTTGTGGTTTTGGAAATAACATTTATGCTGCGATATGTTCTTCCCCAAACAGTGTGTCCACACTGAGGGGTTCTTACGGTAAGTGTTTAAGGCAGGGGTTAAGATGAGGGTGCTCCGTCTGGGCCGCGGCATTCTGCTGTAAATTCTCGCATAAAACTTCCCTTGTGAGATGCCAAGTGCATTTCGACTAGCCCTCTCAACACTTTGTGCCTGTCAGATCGCTCTCGTTGTGCCGCAGTGCGAATTTTGACATGGCCCGCGCAACCGTCTCGGCACTTTGTGCGTGTCGGAGCGATCTCGTTGTGGCGCCCTGCGAATTACGACATTGCTCGCGCAACCCTCTGTGGCGCCGCTGTGCTGATTTTAGCTGCTTCTCTTGCAAGGGTTTCATGAATTTTCATGGTGCATCATATATGAAGATCCTGGCCAAGGTCTTGTAGAGGTCCCTGTGAGGAGCTGCTGCGCAGATCCTGATGACATCCTGTCGGTGGTCCTTGCATGATCTTGTGCAGGTCCTTATCAGAAGATCTTGTGAAGATGCTGCTGGCATCCCCTAAGAGCTCTTTGCATGATCTTGCGCAGGTCCTTATGAGAAGATCTTGTGGAGATCCTGGTAAGATCCACTCTAAGAGTTCCTTGCATGAAGATTTTGCAGATGCCATGTCTTCGAGGTGCTTGTATGACAGCTCTTGCGGGAGGCTCTTGGGAGGTTCTTGTATCAAGATCTTGTAAGATCCTCTCCAGCAGCAGCAGGTCCTTTTTATCACGATCTTGTGCGATTCTCTTAGGAGTTTTAGTATGAAGATCTTGGCCAAGTCTGTTACACCTCCTTGTTCGGAGATCTTGTGGAGATCCTAGTATATCCTAGTGGAATTCCGTCGGAGGCCTTGCATGATCTCGTACAGGTCCTTGTGAGAAGCTCTTGAAGAGGCACCCCGTGAAATCATTTTATGTGTCCTTACATGATCTCGTACAGGTCCTTGTGAGAAGATCTTGTGGAGATCCTGGTGAAATGTGAAATCCTCCTCAAGAGGTCCTTGCATTAAGATCTTGAAGATGCTCTGAATTGGTGATTGTCTTAAAAGTTCTTGTGTGAGATCTTCTATATGGACAATCTATATAGAAGGTCCTTCTGCTGCAGCCTCGGTGATGTTTAAAGTGATCTGTTACTGTTCCATAGCTACTGTTGCTTGTATCTGCTACATTGACTTTCTACCCGCCACATTGTTTGGGGCCTCTTGCCGGTGTAATTGTAGACCAAGTCTGCGAAATCAAAGCATGAATGAAAAGAACTAGCCAACCTTTCTTTGAGGATGTGTATCCTTGACATTATCCCCGGTATGCATTCAACAGATCTCAGTAAAAGATAGGATTGAACTTTGAGATCTACTACCCCGCCAGGAGTAAGACCTAGATTGAAGTTTTAGACGTACTTGTTTGGAGAGGGATAATCATGTCACCCCGTTGCCAAGATGGCAGATTCTGGCGCCATGGCAATGTCATGCCATGTCATGCCCTTGTGGGAAACTCTCTCAATTGGATCACCGTGATCACCGCATGTTTCCACATGATGCATAGCTTCAAACGGCTGTGCCCTTTAGCATGGTATGTGCTGGCCCTACATATCGAACTGATCGAATAGTCTTTTCAATGTATATGCGCAATTACGTATGTATGTGGCCGCATGCCTACCCATAGGTGTATTCATCTAGTCTATATTCATCATTACTCATCTACGTATATTTATAGATGTTAATGCATGGTAAGTATTAAATAACTAACGAGAGGACGATGAAGAGAACTTCGCTCTCCTTCAGATACATCCGACAGGATGAACTCTTGCAGCTGGATGTGCAGTGGATCCCGGAAGAGGACGGGTGCAACAGGGGCATTTTTTGGGGATCTTGGCCTTGGAAATCATGGAAAATCCGTCAGTAATGTTTTGAGTTACCTTCTGGTAAACTAACGTAGCTATGGAAAAGCAAACTTTTTGATCTTTTTGAGAGGTAAATCAATGATAAACGGCCATTGTCAATAGCTATGTTGAATTGCCAAAGGGTATTTGGGATTCCCTATGTGGACCCTTGTCAATTTTCGGCAAATTGTAACCTTTTTGCCTTCTTGTTGACGCAGATCCACCAATGATGCTAGGGCTGCTGGGAGATGTTTCTGTCTGAGCACGCCTCGTAATTACCAGTTGCCACCACGAGCATCACAAATCCATGATGATGATGGTGATGATGATGATGATGGTAATGATGACGATGGTTATTTACTATTGCCATTAAATGTATAGAATTATCTTTTTAAATCAGAACCCATTATGAAATCAGACATGGGTTATAGAAAAAATATGCATGTTGCATGCTACAAAATCAAGGGGCATGACCCAGGGAACAGCATACTCAGCTAAAATCGGCATTTTGAAAGAAGTTTTGTGTTTTTTGGGTTGGTTGCTGTGCTGACCAACTGCATGTGCGGGGTTGATTTTGTAGTGAAAAACGTGCTCGAAAAGGCTTCTGAAAAGGTCTTGCCCCGCTTGATTTTGTAATGAGGGGGCACCAATCTGAAGGTCAGGTCCCTGAATTGTATTCCCAAAATCACGGGGTCCGACCTTCTCACTGAATTGCAAGGAGGATTGTTACTACCGTTATTGTTATACTATTTTTTTGTCATCACTAACATGTTCCCCAACAGCGTAAGCTTGGGGTCTTCAGCCATAGTAAAGGTTCCGGAGCAGGTCGGAGCAGCTTTCCAAGAGAATCCCTCGGAGCAGCCAAGTCCGCACGGCGCAAGGTTGGGAACCGGGTTCCCAGGAAGAGGTTCCCAAGCAAGGTTCCGAGGAAGAGTTTCCCAAGCAAGGTTCCCAGCCACAGGAACAGGTGCCCATACAAGGTTCCCAAGAACAGGTTGACAAGTAAGGTTCCCAAGCACATTCCCAAGCAAGGTTCCCAGGAAGAGGTTCCCAAGCAAGGTTCCCAGCAACAGGTTCCCAGGAACAGATTCCCAGGAACAGGTTCCCAAACAAGTTTCCAAGAACAGGTTCACAAGTAAGGTTCCCGGAAAAAGTTCCCAGCCGATGTTTCCAGGAAAAGGTTCCCCAGCAAGGTTCCCAGGAACAGCTTCTCAAGCAAGGTTGCTAAGGAAGAGGTTCTCAAGCAAGGTTCCAGGAAGAGGTTCGCAAGCAAGGGTTCCCAGTTGCTCCTGGAAATTCAGAAACAGTTGCCAAGCAAGGTTGCCAGGAGCAGGTTCCCAAGCAAGGTTCCCAGGAACAGGTTTCCAAGAAAAGGTTGCAAAAAAGGTTTCCAGGAATAGGTTCGCAAGCAAGGGGGTTCCAGGCAAGGTTCTTGGGAACAGGTTTCCAAGCAAGGTTCGAAAGACCAGGTTCCCAAGCAAGGTTCGCAAGAACAGGTTCACAAGCAAGGGTTCCAAGAACGGTGCCTCAAGTTCCCAAGCAAGGGTTCCAAGAACAGGTTTCCTTGCAGGGTAGCAAGGTTACCAAGCAAGGTCCTTGGGAACAGGTTCCCAAGCAAGGTTTCCACGAACAGGTCCCCAAGCAAGGTTCCCGAGGACAGGTTTGCAAGCAAGCTTCGCAAGAACAGGTTCCCAAGCAAGGGTTCGAAGAACAGGTTCCCAAGAACAGGTTCGGGTTCCAAGAACAAATTCTCTAGGAAGGTTCCGAGCAATAGGTT